AATTCTTCCTCCATAAACACTTAACCCATACTCCTATGCTCAAACAATATGCAAGAAAAGTAAATAGCCTCCACGCGGGCCGACGATTTAACTAATGGATTGAGTAAGAAAAAGCTCACAAAGGTCCTTTAGCACTTCAACTCTAAATTTATAGCTTAGCTTAACAATTTTTAAATTTTTAGCATTTTTCCTTGCTTGCTTAGCTCCTTTGCTTGGTGGCTCCTTTGCTTGCCTCCTAACTCAATGCTCCTTGTCAAAAATGAACAAACACAATAAGTAATCAAAAGAAAAATAAAAACAAAGTAAAGACACGATCAAAAGAGTACTAATTCTTAATGAATTCTACAAATACGACGTTGCCTAATCCCCGGCAACGGCACCAAAATTTGACGGGTGCCGTTCCTATACGCCAAATTTGATGTAGTGAATGTGCGGTTCAAGAAAAACTTTTTAGGTCAAATTTAAATTTATAAAAACCACTACTAACACTACTACTAACGTAGCAAGAGTGAGTAGGGATCGTCCCAAGGGATTGGAGTCGTACTAACTTGTGGAATTGTTATTAGGGTTAGTAAGTCAAGTGATCAAACAAATGGTTGGTTGGTTGATTAAACTAGAGAGCAAATTAAACTAAATAATTGAATGCAATAAAGAGTAAGTAAGAGAAAGAGAGATCTTGGAGTTTAGAGGTCACCACCAAACAATACTTTTCTACACCCTTAACAAGTGACTAATGAGGGAAATGTGTGTTGCAATATTGGTGTGTGTGTGTGTGTGTTTAGTTAATTCAACTAGCAATGGTGACCAATTAAGTATACATTGTCTAATCAACATATGAAAAGAATAATATATCTAATAATTAAGTATATATTGTCTAAATAGCATGTGAAAAGCACAATATATCTAGCAAGTCATTAATCCTTTCATTAAGCTCATAAGCCAAACACACCACAAGGTTAGAGACATATGCTTCTTGCATTCAAAAGTATGGAACATCAAACAACAAGTATGGATTGTCCTCCCATCTAACAACTATGCTACCACTACACTACAAATAAGCTAGCACATGAAATTAAACTAATTAAGCTAAGGGAGACGCACAATCCATCAAGAAATGAGTATGAACCATCTAGAAAATTACAAGAGCATTCCATTAAGCACAATATTTTGACAATCTCTAGATCTATGGCATCAACACACATAGACATGCATCAATAACACAAGAAATAGAGACAAACACATGAACATATATTCTAGCGTACATAGACATATGGATAGAATGAAATGATCAAGTGAAAGCATTAAACCACATAAATCATTGAATAAACAAGATCTATATATATAAAAGTGCCAAAACATGTATTACAACACTAATCCCTCAATAATACACAAAATAAAAAAGTAGAAAGCATGCTTGGGGCTAACTCTAGCCCCAAGAGGATGTCTAGCCATTTATGGTAGTGCTTCTCCAACCCTCAAGGGCTAACTCCATGGTAGAGATTTACTCCTTGGTTGATGAAAAGTCTCCAATAGTGTCTCTAGCCTCCTCCTCCTCCTCTAAGCTTGCTCTCTAAGAGTTCTTATAAGGTATGAGATGATATGATATGGTAAGGTATGGTATGGTGTAAAAAGTAATCCTTATCCTTATATAAGTAGGTCAAAGACACACAAAAGGAGCTGGGGTCGTGCACAAAATATTCCCCAATGATTGGATAAAGGACAACTTTCAATGAGCTGGAAATTTAACTTTTTCGCACTGGAGGAAGTTCAATCGATCGAACCTTGGACTTGGATCGATCGAACATAGCTGAGATCTATCGAACTGAAGTTGGATCAATCCTCAATGGCGGCGCTTTTTGGATAAAGACAAATCTGAGATATTTTGAAGATATTTTTGGGAAAAGGACAAAAGTGGTTAGTAGGGTGGTACAACTAGATAAGATCAATCATTTGGATAAGGATAAGGTAGTTCGATCGATCGAAGAATGATGTTGGATCGATTAAACTTTTGAGATCTCGAAAATGTCATCATGGCTTTGATCCATCTTGAAGTGCTGAGATCGATCATATTGGATCGATCGAACTTTGATCTGAGATCGATCGAAGATGTTGATTTCCACCTTTTTCTTCATTTTGCTTCCACTTGGCTCCTTTCTTTGATTCATCCCAGAATTGCTTCATTTCTGCTCTTATTTGGCTGAGTTAGCTTATTTTCGGGATAAGTTATTTTCGGGATAAGTGCCTGAAAATGGAAATAATACGAAATCAATCTAAAATGGTAAAGTAAGATAGATAAAGGTACTAAAATGCCTAAGGTTAAAGGGTTTAAATACGCACTTTTCAGCGCTCATCACAAAACATCCAGGATTTCTCAATGAAGTGGGCTAAATCAAAATATATCAACCAAAATCAACGGTTGTTTAATTCAATTTTAATTAACTAACAATGTTTCTTTAGACTGATTAAGGCATAGAAAATCCTATTTGGGTAATTAATAAATAAAAAAATTACCAATTTATTTCTGAACAATTCACCACTCAGTACCCTATCTCTTCTTTTGACCAATTTACTCATTCTATTTGAGAATCTACTAGGAAGCAGAGTGAGGTAGTTCATGGCAAGCCCCTTCCAACAGTATGGAATTCACTCAAAAGCATGCTTTTTGTAAGTTTTTTAATTTTCAAGAAGTAACTTTAGAGCTTTACCCTATATTAACTACTTTTGCTTGTCAAAGTTCTTGTTATGATTTTTGGTTTTTTTTTTTTTTTCTTTTTTTTTTTGTAGTTCTAAAAAGATTTCCATCTTCAAAAAGCTTGGCATGTTGATAAAAATTATTTCAGATTCAATCTCTAATCCAATTTAGATTCTTTTCTTTTTTTTCTTTTTTCTTTTTTCATGCCCAAATTCAAATTTAATTGACACAAAAAAAAAAAAAAAAAAAAAAAAAAAAAAAAAAAAACCAAAAATAGAAGTTATAGAAATAAAATAAAATAAATTTTGTTTTGCTGAAATAAAATGTAGATTACCAGTGATTACCTCAAAATGCAATGCAAATTTTGTTACTTTTAATTGTAAAAAATATATATATTATATAAAAAAGATCATAAAAAATTGCACCAAATAGGATTTAGTTTGCAAAACAAACAAGAATAAAAGACATTGATTAGTTGATTTTAAAAAAAAAAAATTTAAAACAAAACCCATATATACAAGTTAGCAGTTGGAGAGAGAGAGGGGGGGGGGGGGGGGGGGGTAAGCTTGAGAGTTGAGAGACAACGGTTGAAGCTTGCGAACGGCGAACCTGAACTGAAATAGCGGGCGATGGAAACTGAAAGATATGGGTTTTGATTTTTTGAACAATCTGAAATGATATGCCTATATGGGTTTTCACGTAGGTAATAGGTTTTGATTCACCACTTAGTACTATTTATATAAAGTGAATTGGTTACTTCGTGTTGCTAAGTGTCCCTGAATTTTTTACCTTCCGAAAAAACCTAAATTTTCTCTCTTTGGCTAGAACCGTGAAAGAACATTCTGAATTTTCTCTATTGTAAATTTTCTATTTTAATAAATTTACCTTTATCTTTCACACAAAAAAATAAATAAATAAAAAATTTGTCAAAGCTTTAACTCAATTTTTTTTTTTTTTTTTTTTTTTTTATTTCTTCGTATTATATTCTCAAAATTTATATTTCCTTATTTGTATCTTGTTGAAGTTCGATTGCTATGATCAATATTTATTCCACTAACTATAGAAAATGTTGCTTAACATCAACTTATTGAGAAATTATCATGCATGGAAAGAAATCGGTTAACACTTGTTAATCAGTAATCACTTGTGGAATGAAAACATCATTAATGGAGTCATTATTGAAATATTTATGTTAGATATTTCTTCTATTTAGTCAGCCATGGTCTTACCATGTAGAAATTGTAATTCTGTCATAATCTAAATCACATAATTCGCTCAAACCATTGGCGCTCCATCGCTCCGCACGCGAATTAGCGTTTTGAGAACGAATTCGCCAAAAATTCACGCTCTTATGTTTTTAAATTCGCGAATTCAATTTAAGAATTCGCTGATTTTTAAAGATTAATTCGACGAATTGTGTAAGGTAAAATCGCGTATTTTGTTCAAGAATTCGACTACTTCTGATAATAAATTCACAAATTTAGTATGAATCTTGAGAAATTTCGATTTTACCCCCAACTTAAATAGCCAAATAAGGTTAATTATGTCAAAAATTAATTAATTTAATTTAATTAAGTAAACTCTGTCCTTTATAGGTAAAAATCAAATGTAACAATATACTTAATATTTAATAATACTTATTTATTAGTAAAGAAATAAATAAATGAATAACTTTTCATATTCTGATTGTGATTTCTCAATTTTCTCTCTGCTATTAAGTGTTGGGTTTGTGATTCTTGAACTTCTTTCACTAATAATTGACTCTTGATTTACTCTTATAGTCTTATTCTCGTTCCATCATTTCATATTCTTTTTGCTATTTCATATACTTTTCATATGCTTTTGAACATTGCTATTTCAAAGACAATGATTGTCATCTTGAGAGTTTAAAGCAGGTTAAATGTATAAAAGACAATGTTTTTGAACATTGCTTTTTCTATTATACCCTATTCACTATTATGTTTTTATTTTTATAAAGATAGTCATGTTTGTTAATTTATGCATTTTTATAAAGCTTTATATTGGTTGTAATAGACTCATATTTTATTCACTATTTTGTCTTTTTATTTGCATGAAATTTATTTAAAACATATATTTACTATTATAAATTAATATTTTATATATTTATACTGCGACGCTCTAGTGGCGCTCCCGTTCTAAGATTTTTTGGAATATGCCGCTCTTGCGCTCCTGCTTTAACTCCCGCTCTCGCTCTATGTGACTTAGGTCATAATCATAATCATGTAGAAAATAGAAATAATGCAAAGAAAATATTAGCAACAGACCCTGACTTTTCAAAATCTATTTTCTTTCTTCTTCTTTTTTTTCCCCTTTTCCTTCTTGATTTTATTAAAACCCCAAAGGGTTGAATATTGAAATTGCTCCCACGGAGATTAACACTGAACTAAAAATGTACCATCTTTCCAAACTCACTTTCTTCTAAACCATCATTTTCTAATTTTGCACACAACTTAATTTGAAAATCAAGTTGATAAAGATTGTGAAGTTAATAACAGAGAAAATGTGGTAATTAACCATTTTATTGATGTCTGCAAACTAAGCGTGTAACATCTTAACATAAGTGATCAGCTCTGAATTCATGACTTCCAATGGTGCGTACTGAAGTAGTGTATTATGTATTTATGTGATTCTTGATTAATTTGCAGATTCATTGGCCTTGGTAGATGAAACTCATATGAGTGGCAGCCGAAGTATAGCCCCCATCAACAACAAGGTTGTGTGCTGTTATGAATCCAGCTTCATCACTGGCTAGAAACAGGACAGCTTGCGCAACATCTTCCAGTCTTCCGCTCCTCCCACGCAGCAGACTCCCACTTTCACCCACTATGCGACTCACTTCTTCAGTGCTCACATCCCTCTTTCCAAGGAACCTCCGGTAGGCGCTCACTAGCATCTCCGAGGGGACACCATGAGGCGAAACACAGTTCACACGAATCCCGTGAACCCCCAACTCACACGCACTGCTCCTCGCTACTCCAAGAATAGCCTCTTTGGACAGAGTGTAAGGGTGAGATCCGAGGCCTCCCATAATGGCTGCTGAGCTTGAGGTGCATATGATGGAGCCTCCTTTTCCTTTTCTGCCGCCCTGGATCATGGCTCGCGCAGCATGCTTTATTCCATGTACAATTCCGTTGAGGTTAATGTCAAGTAGGACCTTCATGTGGCCCATGTTGAGATTGGTTATGCTACGTGATTCATGACCTGAAATGCCAGCATTGTTGAACATGATGTCTAGATGGCCTTTCCATGTTACTGCAAGCTTCACGGCTGATTCTACATCCGATTCCTTGGCCACATCGCAGTGTATGTAGCGGCCTCCAATAGAATCAGCAAGAGTGGCTCCCAGATCATCCAGTATATCTGCAACGACGACATGAGCCCCATTTTCCGCGAATAGTTTTGCTGTGGCTGCTCCAATCCCTCGTGCACCACCAGTTATGACTGCTACTTTCCCCAACAACCTAAGTATATAGCAAAATAATTAAATCTAACTTGGAGGGTGTACACGAGTTATATTTATTTATACTTGATTTCTTATAGATGCGTGGGCCAGATCAGTAGGATGACTAACCTTTTTGCCGATAACATCTGTGCATTCATGTTGTGCTTATCATCACCAGTTAGCTCCATGTCGCCGGGTCCCAAGTTAAGAATGCTAGCAGGTAAACGGCCTTATATATAAACATGGAGTTCAATACCATGATGGAGGAGAGACAATGTGAAAAAGAAAAAAGTATTAATTCACACCTTTCTCATTTCCTTCATCTTAACTACTTTCAAACTGTGAGTTTGCTAGTTATCTACTAGGTGAATGAATAGATATATATATATATAGATAATGTACTTAAATTTTACAATTTTATCATTGGCAATCTAATTCTCAACAAACATTGCCTTCTCCACCTATAATTTAGAAAGAAAAAAAAAATGCTATTAAAACTGAAATCCTTGTTCTAAAACACTAGCTGAGGGCTTCTAAGCACTCGGACATATATATATTATGAACTCACAAACCAAGTTCAAGCGAGCTCAATTTTCTGTGGTTGTCACGAGCCCAAATCAAGCCAACAAATGAAAAAGGTCAAAACGATAAGTAAACTCATAAAGAGAAGCTACAAAACTACAAATCAATTGGCAATTTGGGATCCAGTGAACGGGCAAAATTAGTTGCAACCCAAAAGGCAAATCTGGCAGAGGCAGACACATGGGAAATTACAATCATGCAATTGCACCTCCATTATCTTTCAGCACCATTTATGATCACATCCTCATTTAAAGATCAACAAGGTTTCAGGGAAACCCATAGAAGCTGAAAAGCACAGCTCCACCCGCTTCTGAAAATAGCAACAGATGGTATTTGATTTTGAGTCCTCTTCTATGCAAAGAGAACAATCTATGACCTTAGAACCATCATTTAATCTTCCTTTCACTCCCTGCTTTCATATTGAAAACCAATGCCTTAATGCAGAGTCGTGGCTTAGTGCTAACAAGGTTGTGCGGAAGAACTGAGATGGCAACCACTAACGACCCAATGGGTACCCCAGAGATAGGTAGCAGCTCAACGAGAACAGAAAGCTGTAAATTTACAATTATGATCAGTACATGCTACAATACGATGGAGAAGGAAATGGTTAGATCACTATGTCGTAGCTTGGGTCCTTTGTACCTCTGGAGATTTCAGGTCCACTACCGAATCTGATACAGCATCTTTAACGGCTGCAGCCACAATGCTGAAGCATTTGTTGCGGTCTAACAAAGTGAATGCATCAGAATCTCCTGAAGTATTTTTTGAAATCTTCACCTCTGTCTCCTCAATTCCTCTTCTGTTATACCCAACTGCAAACTACAATGTTATACAAAAATGTTATCCTAGTGTAGCCAAAATATCACCACCACTAAACCAAACTCTTATCACTTGTAAAAGAAAAAAGAGATAGTACTGATTGTTGTTGCTTGCAACCCATATAAAAAGTGTGGCAAACTTCGGCAAAGATTTGGACTAATTCCATAAAATAGTAATCGTTAATATGAGTCACCTATCTGGAAATAAAAAATAAAAAATAAAAAATAAAAAGGAAAAAAGAAAAATGAAATTACATGAGAAAATAACTCGTGCTTGCTTAAACGATCTTTCAGTACATGTACAGGTTGTTTCTATTTTTTCACAATACCCTCTTTATCCCTATAATTAACAGCAAGTATAGACATGGCAACAGAAAATGTGTTAACTATCTTATCATGATGATAATAGGAGTAATATCCATTAAACCCAGACATGTGAAAATGCACCATAAGCCACAGGTTTCACCAATCCCTGTATGCTAACTTACCACATTCTCTCTCTTCAACCATTTTTACACATGCATACTGTATATATAAATGATGAACTGTCTGCAGTGACAACAAAATCAACTCATACCTTTATAGGCCGTGCAAGTTGGTTTTGTTTATTATTCACAAACTGAAGAACAAGGTTTGACACCACTGGACGAAGTTCCTTCTCATTTAAACAGCAAGTAGCTTGGACAGGGAATATGCGATGACACCAACTGCACCAAAGAAATGCCATTCACTAGAAATTCAGTAAGATCAGCTAAAGACAACTATATTCACCACAAACTCAACCACAAAATTCAATTTCATAAATAGAAAAAGTTAAATTGTAATATGCCAGATCCCTTATCTTGATATGTGACAGGAGTTGTAGTAGAACATAAGGTGTGTAAGGGTCTGAAATGGAAGCAGGTAATGAAATATAAAGGGGACTTAGATCAAGATAATATGACAACTAATCGTTGGCAATTAAGTCTGCCAAATCTGTGTTTTCTATAGGGCACTAACACTTCACAAAACTAAAAAGGAAAGGTAAAATCATTACAAACTTGAAGATGGAGGTATCCTTTTTTGACAAAAAAAAAAAGTGTGTCCTACACAGTAAAGGATACCTATGAACTTACAAGCAATAATAGTACACATATTTGAGGAATGTATCAGAGAACAGTGGGAAAGGTAAAAGAAGAGGAAAATGAAAGGGAAAAAGTTTGGTGGGAAGAGCACTTTGAATGCCTTGATAAACAATTAAGGGACGTTCATGGTGGCTGTCATAAACTATATGAAATAAATACGCTGCTCCTTTTTACACTGTAGTAATTTCATGGTTATTCGGAAAAGACTTTACAAAAAGACTTTCAGATTGTAGTTGATATGAGAATATAAAAAACCAATAAATATGACATTCACATTAGCCTTCCAATATAAAAGGAAAAAAAAAATATTAGGCGAGGGATTGAGGATTAGTAATAAGTTTTATGCTTAGACCACTTGTGAAAGAGAGATGATAGTGAAAATGAGATACATAAACATATATATATATATATACGCAGAGAGAGAGAGAGAGATCTTTTGATCAGCCCCCTTTTTTTTTTTTTTGAATGCTTTTAAAAAAGAAGAATATGATTGCCAGAGGGAATCCAAATGCAAAGGCTTGTTAATATCGTGGACAAGGTTTCATATACAGAATTTTGTATCTTTAAAAAGCCAAGCTTTCACCACTCACTAATCAATGATAAAAGAGAAGCAACTCAATAGAAGTTGAAATAGCAAAGCACTAAATCATTTGATCTGAAAGAAAAAGACCAACTGGCAGAAGAGCTATGAAGCATTGATGTGGCAGGAATGCATCGAATCACCAAGGGAGAAATCTTCAATTCATGTAGAAAAATTAATCCAGGTAGTTTGCTGATCTAGTGATTTCTCCTGCCTAGATTGGCCAACTAAAAAGTAACTTCTGAGTTTAGATGGTAGCAAAAAAACAAAAATATTTTTGAATGGGGTATGCTCATGCAGTCGTGCTCATAGTTTAGATAGAAGCCAGAACAATGCAAATCTCCACTTCATGGACTGCAAGCTATGCAGTAGAAGCACTACTATTGCAACATAGACATGTACGACTTACTTAAAGCAAGGACAAACAAATATGAGATAAAGGACAAAGCATTTTGCTTCATAATAAATATTCTTGCATATCTCAAAAATGTAGTTTTGGAATACCTTGATTTAGAAGATCATTCACACATAAGAATACTATAATGAAAAGGAATGCAGGGAGAACAAAGTATATTAAAGAAATGGCGGCAAGTGAACAACTTACAGTGGTAAACTCAAACTTCCAGATTCCAGAGAATGAATAATATTTGACAAAATATCAACAACATCAGGAGAATAATTCATAGGGAAGGTAAAAAAAACCAAGCCGCTCTTTGTCAGCTTAACAAGTGAGAGAATAGGATTTCTTTCCACATTTGTATCTGATTTTGCAGAGGACAAACAAGAACCTTCAGAAGCTTTACCTGCTACAGGAAGGGTAAATCACTCATTTCCAAGAAAATTTTGAATCTGAAGCCTTACTAAAAATCAACAGTAACTGCAACACGATTTATTACCAGTGTCTGCTGAGTTAGGAGTAACACTTTCACTTTCTACACCAATAGCGAATTCTCCATCTATTTCCCCCTTGCATATCTTCCTTCTCTTAGCAGCAACATTTGCATCAGAGACTTCCAGACCTTCAGAGCTGCCACTATTAAAGAACCCAATAAACTGCACAAAGTCACATAAGACCATTGACCATAAGCATTTATATCAAGAAAACATTCACTAAAACAAGATCCTTAATTCAACTCGCAAAAACAAAATGCAAATGTGGTAGCAAATTAAAACCATTGTTAGTAAAGAAAAAAAGTATAACAACCAACTTCCATTCTTCCATACAAATTATGGAATTTGGGTGGGTTGGGGGGTAAAATGAAGTCTTAGAGACATCAACCTTAATCCAACCTTCCTGTAAATGTGTTGAGAATTTAAGACAAAATAATCAATGCCCAATTTCTTCAAATAGTAGAAAACCCAAGGATCAGAAAGGCAGGCAGGTGATTACTGGATAACTTCAATTTACTGTTCCAAACTGGCAGATATAACATTTAAAGACAGCGAAGAAATTAAATTTGCAATGTTTCCATTATACAAGATCATACCACTTGAACAGACTTGCTACCATAATTCATCCAACGGAAAACTGGTGGAAAACTAGTGTTAGTCCAGAGGTGTACAAAGAGGAACATGTTACTGTCTTTGCCATGTAAGAAACTTGCTATCATATACATAACCGGTCCTTAGCACTGAGAAAGGAAAGGGACCTACCAACAGGTCTGTGGCCTAGCGGTACCAGCTCTTACTTTCCAAAGGAAGGTCAGGGGTTCAAGCCTCAGTGGAGGCGTGTGTGTGAGTACCAACTAGGAAAAAAAAAAGAAAAGGAAAGGGACCTGTTACTGTCTTTGTCTTGTAATAAATTTGTTGTCATATACTAATCAAACTTGTACAACAAGAAGCGAATTTTTAATAATTGGTTCTATGCATTAAAGGAGAATATGTAACTAAAAAGATAGCAAAGATGAATAGGGTACAGTGTAAATTAGGAATGAACTTTTGTTGGTGTGTTGAACTAAGGAGGATCGGGTGGTATAGCTCTGTTTTGGTATGGTGATCATCTTTGTCAGGTTATTGATCGATGTGATTATCAGGTTATTGTATAGTTTTACAGCTGGGATTGGGCAGTGGGTGCTTACTGTTCTTTATGCAAGTGCTGAGGACCATGTTAGAGCTTCTCAGTGGGAGTATCTAAAACAAAGGAAAGCAACGTGGGAAAGGCAATGGATTTTTTTTTTTTTTTTTTTTTAATTTTTTTTTGATAAGGATTATTTTGGGAGATTTCAATGATCTGTTATGGCGAAACTGAAAAGAAAGGGGGATTGGCCAAGCCTTGCTGGGTTTTGAGGAACTTTAAGAGTCTCATTGATGATTGCCAATTATCGGACATTGGGTTTGACGGTTACCCTTTCACATGGTGTAATCAACGTGATGGCAAGGCTAATGTGCAGGAACGTCTGGACAGAGCTCTGGCAACCGAGACTGGCACTCTGCTTTTCCCTCTGCGCGTCTATCTCATCTTACGGTGGTCGGGGCCGATCACTGTGCACTTTTGTTAATTTTTTATCCTTCTTTTTCAAAGCAAGCAAGGCAATTTCATTTTGATGCACAGTGGGTGGAGGAAGAGAAGTGTGAAGATATTGTCCAGCAAGTTTGGCGATCGCAAGTTAGTGGTTCAACGATGTACAGGTGGTCAGAAAAGCTAAAAGGTTGCAAGAAAGAATTGATAATTTGGGCTCGGTCTCAGCAGCAAAATGCGAGCAAGAATACTTGGAAGCTGAAAGTAATCTTCAACGTCTCAAAGAGTCATCATCTGATTATAATCCTGACCAAATTCGAGAAATACAGAAGCAGCTTTATACACTATGGAGGGAGGAAGAGATACATTGGTATCAAAAGTCCAGAGTGCAGTGGCTGAGGCATGGGGACAAAAATTCTAAATTTTTCCATGCTTCGACCATTAGAAGAAGAAGGAGAAACCATATTCAAGTATTGAAAATCCTACTGGGCAGTGGAATCAGTGGATTGAAGGGGAGCATGCAATTCAAGCTACATTCTTGCACAACTTTTTGTTTCAGTCTCAATCTCCATCTGGTATTGACTAGTTTTTATGCAATGTTCCCCAAAGAGTTTCTCCAGAGATGAACCAAAGTTTGATCTGCCCACCAACTGAAGAAGAAATCAAAGCAGCAGTTTTTTATATGTACCCAGGAATACACCGGGACCGGATGGTATGACTCCCCTCTTTTATAAAAAATTCTGGTATGTAATTAAAGATGATATTGGTGGAGCGGTTACGCGTTTTATGCATTTTGGACTTATGTTAAATAGTATGAATCATACTAACTTGGTGATGATCCCTAAAGTAGATGTTCCTACTCAAGTGTCTCAGAATCATCCAATCTCATTATGTAATGCCTCTTACCGAATTATTGCAAAGGTGCTCATAAATCGTTTAAAACCTTTTTTGTTTAATATTGTGCGTGGATCCTGAGCGCTTTTATTTCAGGGCATCAGATTAAGGATAATATTCATACAACTCATGCAATTCTTCATTATTTGAAGAACAAAAGGAAAGGCCTATGATAGTGTTGAATGGCCTTTTATGATTGCCATGTTTTGGGTTTTCAGCCCCACTGGATAAAGTTATTGGTTGCTTGCTTTTCATCTGTTTCTTATTCAGTGGTCGTCAACGGAACTCCTGTGGGTTTTTTAAAACCTTCTAGGCCTCTCTCCTTACTTATTCATTCTATGTGCAGAAGCCCTCTCTTTGTCATTGCAAGTGGCTGAGCAAAATAAAATTATCTCTGGTATAAAAATTTGCAATAATGCTCCAACTATCTCTCATTTATTCTTTGTTGACGATTCTATAATTTTTTGCCATGCCTCTTCTACTGAAATCGGGTTAATGAGCAACACGCTTCGAAGATATGAATGTGCATCTGGCCAACAAATTAATTTCTCTTAAGTCCTCTTATCTTTTTTTAGAAATACCTTTCATATGATAGAAAGAGGAACTGTTGCCAGCTATTTGGAATTCAAGAAGAAGGCATGAGAGATAGGTACCTGGGTATGCAGCTTTGATTGGCAATCGAAGTGGGATGTATTTCAGTTTGTTTTACAACACGTGACGTCGTGACCTCCCGCTTGGCATCTTGGAAATCATCCATTCTCTCTGAAGCGGGAAGGGGAGTCCTCCTTAAAGATGTTCTCAGTGTTTTGCCTACCTACATGATGCCTTGTTTTATATTGCCAATAAAGTTAATCATGTCCCTAACAAAAATTATTCGTAGATTCTGGTGGGGATCAAAGGATGAGGAGGGTCGAATTAATTGGGTTGGATGGGAGCAATTGTGTTCTGGCAAGGCAGAGGGTGGTCTGGGATTTAGAAGTCTTGAGAACGATAATGACGCATTACTGGCCAAGCATGGCTGGAACTTTCAGGTTATTAATCAAGGTTTAGCCTTCCATTTATTTAAAACCAAATATTTTCAGATACAATGGGTTTAGCGGCTTCAAGCTGTTGGTATATATGGAAGAGTTGAAATTCCCTAGTGTTTAAAAATGATATGTGGGATGAGTGCAAGGTGCTAAATCTGGCCATTAGCAGTTTTTGGGAATTTTATGATCTATATCTCGGAGGCCCTCCAGTATATGGTGGTAGACAATATTTAGGTGTGCAACGGTTTAATCCTGCCTCTTTTTCTTCTTCTGGCTGGTGTCCTCCTGGGGTGGGAGAGATTATATGTGATGTTGATGCAACTTTCCATGCATCTTTACAAGTAGCGGGTGGAGGTGCTATCTTTCGCAATTCTTCAGGTACCATTTTGAAGATTATGGTATTTGGGCAATTTCCAGCTAAGGATGCAACATCAGCTGAAGCTGTTTGCTTTAGAAAGGCTTTGGAGTGGGTTGCTCAAGCAAATCTAGATCATGTGTGGTTCGAATCGGACTCTTTGATTGTATGCAATGCAATCTTGAATGAGATGCTTGGTACCGGAGAAGAAAATTAAAATATGAACCGAAAATACAAAATTAAGTACATTGGCTCATCATTTTTTTTTTTTTTTTTTTTTTTTGGGGGTGGGGGGGGTTCTAATGCATCAATCATCATGGAACTGCTTTTCATTTTGGAAGCCCAAGCCCTAGAAAGAGAAAGAAATCCTGGAAATTGGTCAGTTATCAAGGTGGAACCCATTTGAGGCTATTACATAGTCAAGTCTTTTATGCTCTTTAAGTCGGTTAGCTACTGGTTCAGTGTTATTTAAAATCTATCAATTTTTCAGAATCATGTTACTTTGATCAGTTTTAGATTCGCAGTATATTGGCTTAAAGTGGTCCATGGGTCATAAATTTGTGTCAAATTACGGTATTAGATTCTTATTTGCAAAATTAGCAGGTTTATATTGGGTTTTGCTAATCAAAATATCTAATTTATAAATAAACAGTCCAAGTCCTATTAAATCAGAATTACATAAGAACCTTCATACATCTATGTACTCTTTCAAATTAATGAGATCAGCTAAGCTAAATTTCAGTTTTTGAAGTCCTTCGGAGTAGTCTAGTGTTTTTCCAACCGTTTTGTGATGCCTATGGTATTCTTCTACTTTCCTTCCTCTTCTCTTCAATTTTCTACACTACTGTGCCTTTAGAATCCTGCAACCAGATCCGTTTAAACAATTTCTAGCCCGTAAGATTTTTTTTCCCTGGTAGCTCGTAAGATTCTATTCCACAAGCACAACCCTAGCCTACTTCATTTATTCAACACAACCATCCAACCTAACACATTACAATCCCATGTAATTCACTATTATTTTTCAAATATTTGTTCATAGTACCCAGAATGGCCCCCAAGCTTCCCTTTTCTTGCCTACATATAGGAGCAAAACCTCAACTCTCTCTTGTGCTGACTACAAATCCTAAAATCCATAACTTGGCCAATCATTCAGCCACCATAAAAGGAACGCAAAATAAGGAAAAGAAAAACAACTTACTACATTCATCCCTAAGATCTCATTTTTACTGCTGCTATTCAACTATTGGGAGCGTTCCTTAATGTCCTACATGGTTACTAGCGTATCATTTGAAACCAATGCCTAAGACCTCCATTCCAAGGAATTAAAGACATTGTCCAAGGATGCATTCGTTTTTGTCTTTATGGTTCTTAAAATGTGCCTTTTGATCCATTCATTGCAAGGAAAACCACAAATCAGCTTTTAGAAATATAAAATAGCAACAGATGAAGATTTTAAAGTGAAGGAAAAAAAAAACCTTTTCAAGGATGGACATGGCTTCTTTTGTGGCACTTTTCTCCCTCTCTGAAAGAATAGGAAAGTTTTCAAACTCTGCTTCCAGCTTGAACAAGTAACTAAAGATGTATGCATTAGGATTAATATAAAAGATCATTCTCTAGAGGGCACAATCCCCAGTTTTGAGTGCTGAAATATAGTATATTAGTATGCATAAGAATATTGTAAAAATGAGATTCATATTACAAGAATTAAAATGAAACAGTTCACAGAGACATAATTTTGAAGAAAAAAGACCTGATTTTAACGATGAAGCGAACTATGACAATGAAATAAAAAAGAAAATACAGTTTCTTTTGTGTGTGTATATAATTATAGAGATGTAGATTCTGAAATTCTCACTGATGGGGCAGGTGACGAGGAATCCAGAGTGAGAGTGATGGAGGAGGGAAGAGGGAGCGTTGTAATCGAAGCGAGGGATACTTATCACAGCTGAGTGCTGTTCCCAAGGTGCCATTCGCTCTCCTCCTCCTCTTCCCATAACCTTCACTTCTTCTTTTTCACCAGCCATCACGTTACCTTTCTCTCTGTGTTTTGGACTCGAATACAACACCCCACTCTGTTAAACCCTAATTGGAACTTGGAAGAGAAAGAAAAGGTCTTGGGTCCGTATCACTTTTCAACAAAGCCCGAACTTTCAATAAATATATGGGCTCATCTTCAACCCTGCCCGGTAGATAAAAATTTCATAGAGCACTCCACCTAGGTGTATTCAATTATGAATCTACTCAAATTATATAGTAATATATACATATACATTTGCAGCCCTTCACATACCTTATGTTAGGGCCTGTTTGATATGCTGCTCTCGTTCTACTGCATCTTGTTTGTGAGGATTTTAGTTGACATGACTATAAGCAAAGCTTCATGTCTTATAGCAGTTAAAATATATTTCTAGTTGGTCAACATTAGCATGCATAGATATATAATTTTTAAATAAGTTGCAAAAGTTGGTCTGTGAACACCATTCTTAAGGAGGTGGAGTAGAGGAAATAAATCAAATTTATTGTAGCTCAAAGTATGGGATCTGAGCTTTATCTTAGCTTCATGGTTCATGAACTACTAAAGGCACGTTTGGCATGCGTTGTGTTATCAGGCGTTTTGTTTTAGTTTAGAATAGAACAAGTATTTTGTAATGGAGTGTTCTGAGATAAAAACAAAACATGTTTAGCGACGAAAATTTGCAGTGAGAATTTTGGAACAAAAACCTGATAGAACTTATTTGGCAAGATATTTCGTTTTAAAAAATATGAGAACAAAACATGTTTGGCATAGTAAAAGTGTAGCCAAAATCATTGAAACAAAAATATGAAATACGTTTGGTAAGAGTGTTTTCAATTTGTTTTCATCAATACATTATTTATAACCTTATTAAATATAAAGTAAAATTTTATTATACAATTGATATAACTTTTAATATTTTTATTTTTATAGTTTATTTTAGTTTTTTAATATAAAGTAAAAGTTTTAGTTTATAATATTTTTTAACTAATCTATAAAAACCAATAAAATATATTATAAATTGTAAAACTTATGAATACTGGATATTGTTTTGACAATTCTATAAGACATTGTTTTAATATCGAATTGAAATAAACTTTTAACATATTATACATTACATGAGTTTGAAGATATTATAGAAGTGAGTGTCATAAATATTACATCACTTGTCAACACTTGTCAAGAGGCACAATAAAGTATCCAAGTAAAATTGAATTAATATATTACATCATTTGTCAACAGCCACAATAACCAACAACAACAATATAAGCAATAACATAAATAATATAGTTATAGTAAGACAAGAACAGCCACCATAGATAATGTAGTTTTGCCTATTTTGTTGAGCTTGCATAACAGCAATTACATCCTCCAACTCTTGATCCATATGATCACCCACTTGTAGACGTTGGTGCATGTCATCCAAACATATAAATGAACGAGCATGTGACTAAAACATTAAACACTTGGATATTATTATAATGCCCCTGTGACAATAACATGTACATATAAAAAAAATAAATAAAAAAAAATTCCTGGGTATACATATAAAAAATCATTAATGCAAAGGATTGCATATTCCCCAAGATGAACATCTATAAAATGTGCGTCCATAATTTTTTGAAGTTCCAGTCGTATAAAGATTCATTCGACCCCTTTTACATGCATAAGGTGGCCCGTCACCCTGTATCTCATACATAATTACATATACAAGTGGTAAAATGTGTAATGTATAGTTGGTACAAGTTATTACATTTATCCACATCGTAAAAGAGAGTTAAAATAAAGTAGTTATTACAATTATCCAAATTCTAAAAAAAAAGTTAAAATGAAGTAGTTATTACAGTTATCCAAACATGATAAATATCTAAATGCAATTTCAAGGGTATGGAATTGTATTCCATATAGTATTAATATGATCACGTAAAATATCCATTGGTCACGACCGAGACTGCCGCACATTAACCTGGACATCATTATCCTCATCTTCAAATATTTCATCTACTAGCGCCTCCACAGTTTTATCATCAAATATTGCATCTTTTTGAACCTCCATTCTTATAAAGTTGTGAAATATGCAGCAGGCTAAAATAATAGTAATCTAAGTTTCAAACTTATATGGGGGTATTTGCTTCAAGATGGGAAATCTCATCTTAAGCATCCCAAAACAACGCTCAATGACATCTCGCAAAGACGAGTGTCTGTGATTGTATATTTCCTCTCTACCTCGGGATGGCCTAGAACTCTTGTAAGTGGTACCGTTGACCCCTGTAGGAAGCCAAGAAACCTGGTTGATCAACAAACCCGGAGTCCACTAAATAATATTTTCCTGTTATTTTACAAACTATAAACAATTATACCATTATATTTAAAATAAATTAAATAGCTAGTATAACATTTATCATCCGGAGGCTGTGGGAATTGCATATCCTCATTATTAATGTTCTCGTTCAATATCTTAGAATCATTAGCAAACCCCTCTCATTTTGCTACAACGCATGTAGACATCATATCAAATGAACAAACAGCCATTACATTTTGTGTGATATCCCCCTTCCTACCACGAAATGATATTTGCTGGTTCACATACACTTTTGCATGGATATGAGTTCCATCAATTGCCACTACGCAATTCCTAAAAAAAGGGTAGAACTTTCTTGACTTTTTTATATGGTTAGGAATTCGGGTTAAATCGGGGTGTTCTAAGATGAGAACAAAACATGTTTGGTGACAAAAATTTGCACTGAGAATTTTAGAACAGAAATATGGTATAACATGTTTGGCAATGTATTTCATTTTTGTCCTCCATTCACAAAACAACAACCCAACAAAACTAATCACAATCCCAAATTTCATTTTTGTCTCAGTTTATCTCAACAATAACATCACAGTGTATTTCATTCAAGTCCCACAATGCAAATTTGTTCAATTTCGGTCCATATTGTTTTTTCAATTTTCTGTTTTTCAATTTGTATACAAAGATGAAATATAAAACAAAATAAAATAAAATAAATATGAAAAACAAAATTAAAAGAAAACTCAACATACTCGGCCGATTTAGGCGTTTTTTCTTAGCCTAAATCGGCCGGAGAAAGAGAGAAGAGAATTCGAGAGTGGAGAGAGACGAGATGAAGAGAGAGCTCGGCCCCTTGGCCAAGAGCTCGTCGGAGTGACATAAGGCAGCGGCGAAGCTTTGGGTTCATTAGAAAACACAAAGGTGAGAGAGAGGGAGCTTCGCGGTGGTGGACCTCCAGTAGTGGTGGATGAGGGATTGAGGGTAGGGTTGTGGTGGCTAAGGTTTAGGTGAGGGAAAAATGGTTCGGGTGAGGAGAAAAGAGAGCTTGAGATGAAGCACTCCGAGTCGCCCGAATCGCCTCTCTGCAGAGCTCGTGGAAACCCTAGCAAATGAGGAACTTTTCGCTTTTATATGAGGCGCACGTGTTTCAGCCGCTACAATAAAATGAACCAATATCTATTCTCCGCTACAGTGTGACGGTGTGGGCCAAATAGTGTAGAACACCATAAAACACCAAAATGATGTTTCAGAATTTGGGCCATTTTTTAAGTATGTTTCGGTACTGTTTAAAACATAACAAGCCCATCCAAACATGTTCTAGACTTGAAATTGGGTACTGTAGCCGGCCTGGAACAGAACAAAATAAGGCAGACCACATACCAAATAGGCCTTAAAGGAAGTAAAACTCATTAGAAACCGGTTATCTGATACTCCGTAGCTCTGAAACATTAATTTTGAATAGTGCTTGTGAAGGGTGTGGATGTAGGGGTGGGCTCCCAAAAAAAAAAAAAAATACTATACTAATTTTAGCCTAGTCCAAAAAAAAAAAATATCAATAATATTAGCCCACCCTAAAATTAGTCCACCCAATCAAACTCAAGTCAACTCAACTACCATACTAAGATAAAGGCCCAAGCCAAATAAGCCCGGGCCGGCCCTGACCCAAGGACACAAAGGATAGGCCCATGGATGATGGGCCACCAGAATTTTTTTTTTTAGGGCAAATCATTTAGCTTCCCCAATCGCCTCCATCACTATTCTCGTTCTCAACTCTGTACTTGCCCCTCTCTCTCTCTGCAACTGCAAACTACAAAATCTACAAGAATCAGAAGTTCAAAACCCATATATTTCAGTTTATCTATCTGTCTGCAAGAATCAAAAGCTCAAAACCTATTACCTATATCAAAACCCATATCGGCATATCATTTCAGATTGTTCAAAAAATCAAAACCCATATCTTTCAGTTTCCATCGCCCGCTTCTCCAGTTCGGGTTCGCCGTTCGCAAGTTTCAGTCGCTGGCCCGCTGTCTCTCAACTCTCAGGCTTGCCCCCCTCGCTCTCTGCAGCTGCTAACTTGTATGTCTGGGGTTGTTTTAATTTTTTTTTTTTTTCTAAATCAACTAATCAAGGTCTGTAATTCTTGTTTTGCAAACTAAATCCTATTTGGTGAAATTTTTTATGATCTTTTTTATATATATATATATTTTTTACAATATAAAGTAACAAAATTTGCATTGCATTTTGAGGCAATCACCGTAATTACATTTTATTTCAGCAAAACAAATATATATATTTTTTATTTCTATAACTTCTATTTCTGTTTTTGTTGTTGTTGTTGTTGTTGTTGTTGTTTTTGTCAATTAAATTTGAATCTGGGCATGAAAAAAGAAAAAAAAAAGAATCTGAATTGGATTAGAAATCTGCAGAGATTGAATCTGAAACAATTTTTATCAACATGCCAAGCTTTTTGAAGATGGAAATCTTTTCGGAACTAAAAAAAAAATCAACTTTGACAAGCAAAAGTACTTAATATAGGGTAAAGCTCTAAAGTTACTGCTTGAAAATTAACATACTTACAAAAAGCATGCTTTTGAGTGAATTCCATAGTTTTGGAAGGGGCTTGCCATGAACTACCTCACACTCTGCTTCCACTAGTAGATTCTCAAATAGGATTAGTAAATTGGTCAAAAGAAGAGATAGGGTACTGAGTGGTGAATTGTTCAGAAATAAATTGGTAATTTTTTTTATTAATTACCCAAATAGGATTTTCTATGCCTTAATCAGTCAATTGTCTAAAGAAACATTGTTAATTAACTAAAATTGAATAACTTGGTAAACAGAAGTGGGAACTAATAATAAGAAGTTAAGAACCTGGTATCTATTTGTATTTGACCCAGGTAAACCCACCTCGTACCAAAGTGTCTTCTTCTTCTTCTTCAAAGCACAACCTAAGCCTAAGCAAAGCTGCATTCATTCTCTTTTTAAATCTGAGCGAGGTTTGCAAATAAAAGGAACCCTTTTAATTTCATTGACCTTTACTTTACCTTTCTTTATTATCCTGACATTGCTGCTCATGGCTTCAATTTCTTAACCATAACAGGTACAATTAGTTTAACCAACAAAAACCCTAATTTGTTCTGTGTGTTTACTCCAGAAGAATAAATGCTGTGTGTATATATCTTACTTTTCATTTCTTTGCTCTGAATAATTTGTTTGGTTGGATGTAAGGACATTTTTATTGATTATTCTTCTTTCAATTTGTACTTTATAGGCTTGGAAGTGACATGATATGTGCTTGTTATTTCACTGTTCCTAAAGTTGTGTAAGTAATTTTCACTGGATCTTTTGATTAATCGTCTTTATTACATTTTTTCATGAACCTTTCACTTATGTTATATCATTGATCTTTTGGTTTTTGGCGCCCTCTCTTTGCATATGATTCAGTGACTGACTGTGAGAAAGAAAGGCCTTTTTTAGGCAGGCCAACAATACATATATACATACATACACACATATATATAGCAAGCATACAGGGATTTCATTTGACTAGCCAGTGGCAGTGGCAGCGGCAGCGGATTGATTTCTCACTCTGTAAAGTCAAGCTAGTTGCCATCAACAAATGGCCGATTTTCTGACTTCGACTCACCGAGCCAAGTGGATCTTATCTCCGCAGGATCTGGTAAAACAAACTTCCTTTTTCCCTACTATTCTGCTAATTAATTGCCATTATTAATATTAGTATGTAGTAGTATTTGTTTTGCTGTTGGGTTGTTGAGTAAATGGAGGAAAACACAAGTAAATTTCAAATCTTTTTGGTCTTCTTCTTTAGGTTGTTGAAAAAACAACAGAATCAGAATTCAACTAAGCCAAATAATAATTTTTTTCTTTTTGCTTTTCTTAGGCTCTGAAATTATTAGCTTGAGACCTTTGATTGCCTTTTGCTTTCTTTCTTCTTCTTTTTTTCATTTTTCCTTCTTCTCTACAGTTAATGGTTATCCAAAACTATTGTGTGGAATATATATATATATATATGTGTATGTATGTATATATATATATATTTCAATTTTTAGTTATTTAGTTATTACTCGATGCAACTTCTGAAAATAATTTTGTACAGAAGGATAAATACAATGCTGCCAATCAAAGAGCAAGACAAACACTAGAGAAGGTATGAAGAAACTCTTGCTTCATTAGTATATCTGTGCTTCTCTCTCTCTCTATACACACACACATATATGGATGTAGTTATGCATGTATCAAGACATACAGATACATATCTCGAAATTTGGTATTATGCCTTTTCACAGTTGTGTAGTTATTTCACATTTTAGAAAACTAGTGTAATCCATGCGTGATGCACATGATGAAATAAGCATTTTATATTACAAATGAACTTTTAATAGATCTGGAAAAGAAAAAAAAAAAAAAAAAATCAAAAACAAAAAATTGAAGAATTCACAAAAAAATAAAAAATAATTCACTCTATGAATCACGAGTAAATATTAACTTCACAAACCTAGAGAAAATAAGTTGAGTTTTAAATAAAAAATTAGAAGAAAAAAAGTTGGAAAGAAACAAACAAACAAGCACATCAAAATATACCATTTCTATTCTTGGCTGCTCTCAGATCAAGATTAACATATATTCATTTATTTGGATGCAAATGATTTGCATTCTCCCTTCAAATCAAAAGAAGATGTGGATGTTAATTTTAAAAATGATTTCTCATCATAGCACTATTGATAAGAAAATCAGGATGATTTGGTACTATCATGAAAGTGTAAGGCCTTTTTCCTATTTCTAAACATTTCACAAATTTTAACCAATTTTTCATGCCACGGACCCTGCTCCAACACTTCGTCGCGTTGATCTTCTCTAGACAATTTCTTGGACGAGGTTTTTGAAAGAAGAAAAAACAAGTCATTCTTATCAAGCTCCAAGACAAATAAAGTTGATTTTTAGCAAATTAGTAGATATAATATTAATGGCAAAACCTCAAAAGAAGGTAAAAAAAAAAAATTGAACTTACAAGGATGGGTGCAAAGAATCTTAACCTTTTACAATATTTACATTGCCAATCTAAAATCTTAGTCCAAATATTACAGAAGCTACTAAATCCCTTCGATCAGTGCTTGACAGTTGACACACACAAGTCCATGCTCTAATGCTTCTCCTAACCAGTTCCCACCTGCTTTAGGCAATTGAAATAGGGAAAATTGAAGGTGGAGTGCTTGATAATTTATACATGAACATAAGATTTATAATATAAAAAAACAAAATAAGATTTCATTAAAAAAAGGCGCTCAAGAGAGGAGCACTCCCAAGGAGTACACAAGACGCCAAAGGCGACAACTAAAGCTTCAAGCTATCCACAAAGTCCAAAATACGTCCCAAAGATTTACAATTACGCCCATTAACCCAAAAGAATAAAGTATGAAGTATACTATATTTGAGAGTCCAAATAGGAGTCCACCATAAACAAAGTGGAATGGCCCTCGAAACATCCCTGGCTCGGCTCTCCACTAGATACCCTCTCGGATCTTGGGAACACCCAATACAAACCAAGCGCAACCAAAAACATAACCCAAACCTCCCTCACCACTGGCAGTGAAGGAGGTGGTTCACAGTTTCCTTTGTCCTCTTGCACATGCAACACCAATTAACCATGATTTGCCTTCTCTTTCTGAGATTGTCGAGAGTGAGAATGCTTCCATATGTGGGACACCACGCAAAAAATGCCACCTTCAAGGGGGTTTTCGACCTCCAAATTGCCTTTAATGGGAAAGAGTGACCTGGAATCTCCACAAGACTATGATAAAAAGCCCTAACCTCAAACACCCCTCTTGGCGAACCCACCCACCGAATCTCATCCATCCCCACCCCCTCCACCACCTGGCTGTAGAGCAAAGCTAAGAACTCGGCAACCTCCGTAATCTCCCAATCATGAAACTCTCTACGAAACTGCACATCCCAAGTCGACCTCCCTCTAGGCCGCCATCAAGTTGATAACAGTTGGCAACCAAAGCATGTCTACTCGAAGCAATCCTGAACAACCGAGGGAACCTACGGCCAGAACAATGTCCCCACACCAGAGATCCTCCCAAAACCTGATGAGATTCCCACTCCGAACTCTAAACCGAATATGTTTAGAAAACTCATCCCACCCTTTCCGCATAACCTTCCAAATTCCCACACCTGTTGGAAATCTCGCCTCCCTAGTTAACCACCCACCGTCACCCTCCCCATGCTGGCAAACAATGACTCTCCTCCATAAATGGGACCTCTCGCACCCGAATCTTCATAACCATTTACCTAACGAAGCCTTGTTGAACAAGTCCAATCTTTGGATACCCAAGCCCCTTTTTTGAATAGGGGTGCACGCCACCTCACAGTTCATCAAATGGTATTTGAAGTCATCACCAATGCCACCCCACATGAAATCCTCTAAATCATATATAATCTTTGAATTACGGTTTTCGGCATCGGAAACAGAGACATAAAATAGGTAGGAAGATTTGAAAGAGTGCTCTTCATAAGAATAATCTTCCCCCTTTTTGAAAGATATTGCTTCTTTCACCCAGAAGGTCTTCTATTGAATCGCTCAACCACAGGATCCCAAAATGAAGTCCTCGAAACTGCCCCCAAGGGAAGACCTAGATAAGTTAGTGGGGGCGTGCCAACACCACACCCAAGAATATTTGCTAAATCCTGAATTTTGTTGACTGCCCCAACTAGAACCAACTCGGTCTTCCCAATGTTGATCTTTAACCCTGAGATGACTATAAAACAGGCCAGAACACACCTCAAAAACCTCAACTGATCCACCCTGGCATCACGAAAGACGATGGTGACATCCACAAAGAGCAAATGAGAGAGCTGATTAGTGCTATTTCCCACCATGAAACCTCGAATAAAACCCATCTCTTCCGCTCTCCTCATCAATCTACTGCAAGCCTTCATAACAATGATGAACAAAAATGGAGAAAGAGGGTCGCCTTGGCGCAAACCTCTAGAGCTAGCGAAGAAACCAGCTGGGGAACCATTAACTAAGACTGAGAACTGCGCCCCGTCGAGATGCATTTGGTAAATCAAATTCATCCATCTAGGACCAAAACCCATCCTCTCAAGCAAATGCAACAAGAAATTCCAGCAAACATGATCATAAGCCTTCTCAATGTCCAACTTGCAAATAATCCCCGGAACACCACTTCTAGCTCTGGGTTCCAAACACTCACTAGCAACCAAGACCGAATCCAAATTCTGATGGCCGCCAATGAAAGCATTCTGGGACTCCGAGATCACCTCTTTCAGAACTCTCCTTAGACGGATTGCTAAAACTTTAGCTAGAATCTTGTAAACAGCTCCCACCAAACTAATCAGTCTAAAGTCCTTAGCCTCCACTGCAACGCCCTTCTTTGGAATAAGGTAATGAAGGATGCATTGAGACTCTTCTCAAAGTACCCTTCAGAATGAAAAAAACTCTAAGTACCCATCACCTCAGGCTTCACCACCTCCCAATTATGTTGGAAAGAAAGCCAAAGAAAAACCATCTGGGCCTGGAGCCTTGTCACCATCACAGCTCCTCAGAGCCTCCAGCACCTCTTCCTCCCAAACGGCCTCTCAAGCTGGCCCTTATCCTCAATGGAGATCCTCGAGAACTCCAGCCCATCGAGCAATGGCCTCCAGCTAGCAGTCTCCGTAAAGAGCTGCTGAAAAAAAGACAAAACCGTTCTGGACATCCTCGTCCCTCATCACCCAAATCCCATCAATGCAAATCCTCCCAATATGATCAAAAGTATTTTCTCTTTACATTATGGACTTGCAGCTTGCTATAACATGAATATGTGTAATGGGCTGTATTTCAATTCTAACAATTTGAGGATCTGATGAATTTGATGCTTAGAAATTTATCTGGACTTGAGTCAATGTAACATATATTACCAGTCATCGTAGAAGCTTCAATGTTAATCTGAACTTGTATTGATGCTTATCTTTGTACTTCTTGTATCTTACCATTTATGTTGATATGGGTTTAATGAGTTGTCGTGCTTTTAATTTGGATACTATTGAACTTGGAGATGTTGGAAATGTTTGCGGATTTTGCAAGAATCTAATAGTTATTATAAAAAACTGTTGAAGTACCTAACCCAATTAACAAACCAGTTAACCAAATCTTTAGACTCTTTAACTACCTCTTTTTTCTTCTTTATTACTTTTTTTTTTTTTGGGATTTTATCCTGTTGCGAGTTGTTTATTGTTTTTATTTATTTATTTTAAATTTAGAATAATTCACTATGGTATCATACTAAGACTTATTAGTCACACATACTAATCATTTCTATTTATTGTGTAGTATGGAACGACACAAATGGAAGTAGACATTGATGGGTCCTTGTTGTATCCAGAACCTCAAATTGATGCAAAAGATAACAGTAAACCCTTTTGTTTAGAATTGCATTTATATATAGTAATTTATTTGAATCTCTTTTGAAGAAGTTCTTTTCTTGCTAGGTTAAGGATAGACAGAATTTCTTACCTTTTCTGTGCTCATCTCATATTTATTTTTATTATATCTTCATTAGCTGAAAAGCATTCTCGTCGAAAACCGCTTAAGATTGAAGAAGAACAGCTTCTACGAGCATTCTATGAATCTAAAATTCAAGATGCATGTAATGCCTTCGGATTTCCACACAAAATTCAGGTATGTGGCTCCTCCTTCCCATGGCAAAGACAAGGTTGTATTTATGATCTAGAGTTACCCATCTGAAATTGCTCTACATTTTGTAGGCAACAGCTCTCATATACTTTAAAAGGTTTTATCTGCAATGGTCAGTGATGGAACATCATCCAAAACACATTATGTAAGATAGATTTTTATCTAATGTACAGTTATGGCATATAGTTGGTGATGCTCATGTGGCTTAATCTATTAAATTTTTTTCTTTATTGCACCAAAGTACTTCAGAAACTATGAAGAAAATCATCAGTTTTTCTCTTGTTTCTTGCCAATGTAACTGCATCCTTACTCTGTGTTTTTTATACTTGTAAACTTGTCATTTTTTTGAAAGATGAAAATAGTACTATATTTTTCTCGCTTGCATTCGAATATGCATGCCTTGCAGTGGGTGTGCGCCTAGGCTCTAGACTCATACAGGCGCAACACTTGCGCCTGTTGTGTACCTAGGTGCACCTTTGACAACATTTGTGCCTTTAATATGGAATATGAATATGCTTTAATAGTAAATTAAATTTTCAATTGTGCGCCTCGCTTAACTCAGGCGCGCTCCTTGCCTTGCACCTAGGCTCCAAAGGACCTCTAGCGCCTTAGCGTGCCTTGGGCCTTTGATAACACTGATTCCTTGATTGTCATTTGATCCAAATTCACTGAACCATTTTTTATATTCACAGGTTAACATGCATATATGCAGCTTGTAAGGCAGAGGAAAATCATGTGGCTGCAGAGGAGCTAGGTAAGGGGCTTGAACAGGACCATCAAGTGATCCTCAATAACGAGATGCTTGTTCTTCAGGCATGGATATGACTCACATGTAATTGTTCTCTCTTTTTTGCTTCTGTTTTCTTATTGTTTTTAACTTTAAAACAATTACCTTTCATTTTGCAGACTCTGGAATTTGATCTTATAGTTTATGCTCCATATCGTGCACTTGAAGGCTTTGTCAATGATCTGGAGGTCAGTTTGTCAATCCCTTTCTTACACATGATTTTGATTTTATATATGTACAAGGGAAACTACTATTCTTTTCTAGTCAGTACTTGCCTTGCTGTATGATTAATTTGATTTCTTTTCTACCTTGTGCGGCTAATTTTTGACAATTACTGTTGGCCCTTTAGGAGTTCATCCAAGCCACGAATGAGCAGGTTGAAATGCTCAAGGTATTTGTTAGCCTTATTCTCTAATTTTGGTGACTGAATATTGTTTGTATTATTTTTATGTGATCCTTTGTATTGTTAAAATTTAGTTTTACCATTATTATATCACACTTCTATTAGATTCTAAATAGCCTTTTCGAGGGATGGGCCGGATGGCATCTCTTTTTGGTATTATCCAAATCACCTAACTCAAGGAAGTGTGTTTTGGTTTTTTATTTTTTATTTTTTATTTTTCTTGTTGGTGGGGGTTGGTTAAGCCATTTTTTTGTTTAACCGTCTTGAGTGGTCTTGGCCCGCTAGTTCAACAAAATGTAGTTCTTATACAATTTAGCAAATCAATAATCCAATATTTGTTTCTTCCTTTTGTGGTTGAGTGGTGGATACCATTTCCCTACTATAGATTGTCCCCCTCTGGAGCGTAATAAATTTTTTTCCCATTTAATTTGTCTCAATAGTAGAGGTGATGGGAATTCTGTATATTGATATCAATCTGTTTAATACAATACGATTCTGTTTAATTCTTATCCTGTTCTCCATGCACAAAACGTGGGGATATCATTCTATCTGGGTTAACTGGCTTTTTGCTCCAATCCCATTAATGTGCTCATCTGATCTGACGTTCAATGTCACTGTAGACTTTGCATAAAACTGCTATGAAGGAAGTAGATAAGACAGTGCTTACAGATGCACCGCTTTTATTCCCTCCTGGGCAGGTATTATTCATCATTCAAACTTCCTCCTGTAAAGTTGATTGCTTTGAATGTACTTCCAAACTTCAGAACCTTTTGCATATTTTTGTCTGTAAATTGTGGAAAGATAATATAGCAACCTTGTCTGGAGCTCTAACTTTTGGAGAGTGTATAAAGGTTTTAGATTTTGTTTGAACTTCTGAATTTTTTTCCCCTATGGGATTTTTAATTACCTTTTGCTGGTTAGACGTACAGAAGTTTCAATAATTCTTCAAGCTCTATGAACTTCTAGGCAGTTTTGCATACACTATTCGTCGAGTTTAGACGAAGTAATAGTTCAAGGGTGAATTGTTGAATTTCATTTTCTGTAAAAATTTTAAAATTGTTTTGCTTTCTTTGTTTTAATTGCATAGATACTCTCCCTATTATGATAACCAGAATATGACCTTCAAATTACAAACTTTGACTGGTCAAACATTGTAATAAGTATACTAAAATTACTAGAGGTCACAAGTGAGGGCCAATTAACACGAAGTTGAGTGACTTCTGATAAATGTAATTGTGATTTCCTGTGGGCTAGCAATGAGAACTTTCCCAAGATTCATCTGCCCTCTTTAGATAAGGTCTGCAATTCTAAGGAAATGTGTGAGCTAGGTTTAAAAGAATACGGCTGAAATGAACAATGTTCTATCTAAAATTGACTTCCTCCTCATCGATCCATCAGACCTTCCGGATGAGGTCCTAAGGTTGCGGTCAGTGTTGGCCCCAAAGAGTTGTGCTCTTTAATCTGCAGTTCAAATCAGGGTTCATCTGTCTTGAATGGAGCGTTGATTTGTAGGATGGGAAATGGTCTAGCTGTTAAATTTTGGATTCACTTGTGGCTGTTAGATATGCTCCTCTCTGGTGGCTGTTGGTTCTGTACTAGAGGAGGAGATATGGACATTAGGTAAGTGACTCTTGGTGGGATATTGTGGTTTTGGTTTGGCAGAGTGGGGTTTTTGCCAGTGGTTTAAGCCTTGGAGTCTCTAGAAAGTGTTTACCTTCATAAAAGCCCTGTGAACATAAGTTGATGTATGCAGCAGGAGGATCCTCCTTTCACCAGCTCCATGCCTACTGGAAGTGTTTGGAAAACTTATTGGGCCAATGTTGGTGAAAAAAAATTCTTGTGGACTGACCCGGCTTTCTCATATTTGAGAGGGCTTTTGCTACTTCTTCCAGCCTGCTTGGAAAACAAAAGCTTATAAACAGGTCTTCCCTTCTTGCCAGGGTTCAAACCTTGACTCCCGTAACCCAAAACAGGATCTTGCATTATCACCAGTGGGTAAAGGATTAATAATATCATGGGTAAATCCCCTTCTCCTCCCCTCCCCTCCCCTCCCCCCCGAACTATCACCCGTTTACAACTAAGCCCCTTGAACTACAACTGGCCCCCTGAACTAACAAAAATACACGGTGTCAAACAGCCATTAACGGAGAAATGAAATTACCGTTTTGTACATTAATTGAACTACGCCATTCTTGTGATATCCAACTTTAATTGCTGACGCGGTTATTGTATCCCTATGTCCGATGAAAATTTGCCGACTCATCCTATCCTTATCAATAATTTTCATCCATTTCTCATTTTTGCCAATCAGTTACCAAAGAAGTCATTCTCGCGCCAAGCCCCATCTTCATACCATATTCTTCTTCCTCCAACTTCACTACCTTTCTCATCTCTCTATGACTATTCATTGAACTCCAATGTGGGACGAGAACACTCTAAAACAAGTCCATTACTTCGTGTTAGCCCCGCCTATGCGAGGTGAAGATTGGAGACTGACCTAGGGCCTGCGTGGTTCAGTTGTCAGTTTTCTGGGAACTGAAAATCAGAAAACTGTAAGATAACCTGTTTGATTGATAGTTTCTGAAAACTCAGTTTAAAAAAGCCTGTATAGTTTTCTGGAAACAGTTTTTTGTTTTCTGAGTTCTTGAGAACTGTTTTTAGAAAACTGAGCCAATCAGGCCCCTAACTTTTGGAAATATTTTGCACAAAGTGACTGTTCTCATACTTGAATCTCTCTCTTCAAGTTTCTCAGCCCGAGCTTTTACCACTGCACCAAGCACTGACCCCTGATTTTAAAAATAGCCTAGGACTTTTGCTGGGGAACTTTCAGTTTTCAGATTTGGATTGTGGTTTGTTACCATGGTCTGTTCTCTATTTAGTTTCATAGTTCCTATAATTTGTGTCTCTCCATTAATTTGGTGCAGTTGGCATTGGCTGCTTTGCGCAAGTCAAATGAAGTTCATGGTGTTTTTGACTTTGAGAGGTTTGAATTGCTCTTGCAAGTATTTAACAAATTAATTTCTTGCAGCTCACCTACCTTTCTTGGCTAAAAAATTGTTTTGTTTTGTCAAATGGTTTCTTTGCAGATATCTTGGGAGCATCCTCTCTCGCCAGCATCCTGCACACACCATCTCAGAGCTCACTGTTCCTCTGAATGCCATTGATTTTTTGGTATGACTATATCAAGTCAATTGTAATTCAATTTAGTTATGATGCATACTTCTTTTCTTCTTTTTCTTGGCTATATTATTCCTATTTTAAGTCTGTTCTCTAAAAATAGTTCAGAAGAATAAAATATTTTAGGTGTTTCCAGAGAAACAGAAAGGCTTTTCTGAAATTTTGTTTTAGCTCAGTCAACCAAATGGATTTTTGATATACTTTTTTGGTTCTTTTGCATCTTTGGGGAGAGAAAATTGCTCTCAAAACACTGAACCAAGCATTTCCATGGTTCTGTTAGCTCCACATACCTACTTTTAACTTTTTGCTGGCTTTCATTATAGGCAAGTAAACTTGAGACCCCGACTGCTGCGGATATGAAGCATGTTGACCGGAAGCTCAAATCATGTCGGGATCCTGGCTCACATGACAAGTACTATATTTACACTTGACATATATAGAAGGAACCATTTTTGCTGTTCACGTGTGTCTGTGTGTGTGTAGTAGTGATTATTGTTAATCCAATCTTCTCTCTCATGATAATTCATTGATTCAGGAGCAAGAAACGGAAGCACAGGTCCAGAGAGAGTTCAAACGCAATGCATAACATGCCTTCAGCACTGTATGTTCTGCCACATACATTTTGGTTCTCTTACGGTCTTACCTAGTCTGGTTTTAATTTTTCAATTGGGTGCATCTCATTACCAGTTTTCACTAGGAATCAATAATGGTGCTACATCATGGTACAAGGGGTTCTACCTTTGTCACCTAGAAGCACATATATTTTAGACATTTTATCAGTTTTCCTTACTGATGTAATGTTTTTCTGTGCTTGCAGGTGAATAATGAATATATAAGTTTTTCTCCTGATGTTTGACAGGTTCTATATTGGAAATTCCATTCTAGGGAAGTAGACCCTGGTGTAATAGAATCATAAATCAGTTAATATACTAAGGTTTTCTCTAATTTGAAGTAGGTATAAAACGTTACACCTGTACTTGCATCTATGAATTCAACAGTTACGTGACATCGTGGTTATCCATGGAGGATCTGCTGTATGTTCTTTCACTAATGCAGTTTTTCTGTAATTGGATATAATTTCCATTTTTTTTAGCTCAGTAGCCAGTTTCTTTGTCAAATTAAGAGAGTTGTTAAATTTTTCATAAAATGAGTTGTTCACAAAATCATGTTTGGCATAACTCAGCACTTTATGTTCCGGTTAAATGGATGAAGTGGCGATGGAGAACCATTTATTATAGGCTCATCTATTAAATGCATGTAGTCGAAACAACCTTTGGATTCGTTAACGTTGTACTTTATAACTGGTTATTTTCAAGCCTGTTATTGACTTGTTAAATTAAATGAACCAAGAGCCTGTGCACTCAATTATAGACAAGCCAAGTTTGAACACTTGTAGGTAGCTCAACAGGAGTTTTAGCTGACCCCTGGCACTGCATGACCAAGTAACTTCCAACTGATCTTTACTTTGTTCACCTTGGCTCATTTGACAATGTTCAAGTTTTTCTGTAATTGGATATAATTTCCATCATATTCTCATTTTTTTTAACTCAGCAGCCAGTTTCTTTGTCAAATTAAGAGAGTTGTTAAATTTTTCATAAAATGAGTTGTTCACAAAATCATGTTGGCATAACTCCGCACTTGTTTTTTATGTTCCAGTTAAATGGGTCAAGTGGCGATGGAGAACCATTTGTAGGCTTCGTTAACATTGTACTTTATAATTGGTTAATTTCAAGTTTGTTGTTGACTTGTTAAATTAAATGAACCCAGAGCCACCAAAGAAGAGCAAAAATCCACATGTAGAGCAATAAACCAAGTTATCAACACATTCAGAATTTTTAATTCTTAATTCTCTAACACTTTTAGAACACGGAAGTGAATAAATTCATAATTGCTAATAACCTAATACATTTAAAATTACTAATTAAATAATTAATAATCAGTCACAGTTCAAAATTTAGCCACAAAAAAAAAATAAATAAAAAAAAAAATAAATAAATAAATTGATAAGACAGAATTAAGAGTGGGTCATAGAATTGATAATTTTTATATTTTAAACTTGTGATTTGAATTGTATGATTATATTATATTATATAAATTAACATATATATATATATATATATATAATAGTTTGGTTCGGTCCTAAGACCTCAATTCGTATCTTTACGGTTTCACATATTTAAGCCAGGTTTGAATTTTGGGTAAATTACACCGACACCTCCTGAGGTTAGGTCATATTTCAGCTAGATGAAGATTTTGGTTTTAATTTTCACTTACACCCCAATCATGTGAATGGACCATTTTGCCCTCAATTTTTTAATACAAAATATATATAATCTTAAATGACAAAAAAACCCTTATCCCTACCACACACAACCGCCACCATCTCTGGCTCCATCAGATGCACCAGTTCGTGTATAACTCCTTCAAGTTCAAGAAGTTGGTAAAGTAGTTTTGGAACCTTGTTGGAGCATTTATGTCCTAACATTGAATAGAGTTAAGATCTTCAGAATCTTTCAACAATCTATCCTAAACCGCTTCCGAGCAGCTATGACAGTTGCTTTGGGGCAGCCTACATCCACCACCACATATCCCAAACCACTGCCACCATCCCCACCTCCATCCTTACAACCACCACCATTAACCCATCACCCAAAATCTACCGAGCGGAAAACCCATCCTCATCGCGAATCGATCTGCAGCATAACCCACCCCCAAAACCCATCCTTATCGACGTCCGCACTTACCACCATCCACGAAGGTGTTAAAGAAATTCCAGAATGAAGTGGCTGATGGTGCAGCCGATGAAGACGCCGTCGCCGAGCTCAGTGACCTGGACGGCGGTCAACGGCTTATAGTGGTTAGCGTAGCTGAGAGTGTTGTCGAAGGTTAAGAACTGTTTGAAGCAATTGGGTACGTCTAAAGGGGCTAGAATGTCGTCAATGAAGAGGTGTTTGGCTTGGGCCTGAACGAATTCAACGCCGGCGTGTTGCAGAGGATTGAGTCTGCCGACGAGGGCGGGGAAGTGAATCGGCGACCACAGATTCACAACGCCGGCGAAAATCTAACTTCTTCGGCAGCGAAAAAAGCGGAAAAGATGGCTGAAACGGCAGTGGACAATGGCTTGATAGCAAGGAATGCCGGTGGAAACGCGGCCGATGGATGAACGGCGGCTTGGGATGAACTGCGGCAATGAGCTTTGGAACGGTGGCGCAGCCGTGGACGGGCAGCGGTGCATGGCGGGATGGAACGGCAACGATGAAGACGGGATGTGGAGAGAACCCAGCCAAAATAATTGATATTAACTAATGAATATTCCTTTTGAGTGCAACAATTTCAACCAACAAAAGTAACAAAATGTCATCGGGTAGTATAGGCCTCGTCCTACACACATATCTGAGGTTAAAATGAGAAAGAGAAGGTTCATGACAAAGAGGCGGTGGTGATTGTGAGGGGTACTTTGGTTACAAAAAAGTTAATGCAAGGTTAAAAGGTAGTACAGTCATATTTAACAACTTAAAAGGTGTGAGTGAAATGCTAAATAACTTATTTAAATATAAGTGAAATTTAAAATCAAAATGTTTATCTAGGTGTAATATGACCAAACCAGGAGGTGTGAATGTAATTTATCCTTAAATTTTTCAATTTAACCAGATTTTTGTACATCCCTACCACTTTTATTCTTTCATTTCCATTTCCTAAACCATACCTCTTTCAAATCCTCGATACACACCGCCTCCAAATCCTTCCTCTGCAGTCAACGTCGTCCCGCCGTTCCGCCGTCCTCTGTCATCGACATTGGTTTGCAGTTGACGTGAGATGTCGTTGTCCCGCCATCCTCGACATCATCCGCTGTCCTCAACTTCATCCTACTGTCATCGACATCGATCTAGTCCTGACGACATCGATCTGCAGTCAACGTGAGGTCTTGCTGTCCTGCCGTCATCCTACCGTCCTCGACATCATCTTACCGTCATCGACATCGATCTGGTCCCGACGACATCGATTTGCAGTCAACGTGTCTGACGTCCTCGACATCGATTTTTTGTTTATTTTTGGTTATTTAGGAAAACGTGAAATGAGCTTGCTGAGATTATTTATTTATTTTTGGTTATTTATTCAATGTAAGCAAAGAAAAAAAAAATTTGATATTTGCACACACTGAAATGACACACTGAGAGCTATGTCAAAGGAAAATTAAATTTTTTCTTTCACCATCAGATCAGATTCAGAGAGTATGGAAATGGATACAAAAAATGAAAATGGCAACAGACCAATTGTTGATATGGTTAATGTGGTAAATAACACCTTTGTTAATAAGAATTGTAACATTTAGGATAGCCTATAAGATTAATTAATATTCCTTGTGGAGGGAAGGATGCTTCCAATAGTTCTTGTGAAGGAATAAATAGCACCTTTATTGTTTAGATGTCAATTGAAAATTTTGATTGCCAAATTAACTTCATATATAAGTGCGTGCCATATTAACTTCATATATAAGAAAGTGAATATTAGGATGATATTTAAAAGAAAAAAATAAAAATAAATATTGAGATGATAATTATTGGATCTATATATATGTAATAAAATTTAAAGAAAAAAGAAAAGAAAGATCTCTAATTTAAAAGAATTGCTATCAAATAAATAAATAAATAAAATTGAACTAAAAAAACCACCTATCCTAACTATGAAATACTCCTAGTAATTAAAATCACGATGAGAAAGGCAGGTGGGACAGTCCATCAAGAAGATCCGATGAGAAAGACAGGTGGGACAGTCCATCAAGAAGATCCGATGAGAAAGGCAGGTGGGACAGTCCATCCGATGAGAAAGGCAGGTGGGACAGTCCATGAATGGCAATTCTGTAGCTTCGGAGAACATCAGGAGTCTCAACGTTGACGTTGCTGATCCTGAGTGGGGCCGAGCCATGCACCACCAGATTCTTCCCCTCTTGCATGGTGGGCAACTCCGTCAACGGCGGTAACCTCTCCAAATCAGAGGCGGTGAGCAACATGTTGGGCACGATGTGGAACCTCAAATTGCGAAGGTAGATATTGAAATTACAAGAATTGTGTGGAGGGAAGCGTCGTCGAGAGCGAACAAAGTCATATTGTGAAGGCCCACTAGTTGATCGTACTCCCCCAGCAGCGCTACACTCAGCCTGCCATAACCGAGCGCCTGCAGACGCACCATCGCAAAATTTCGCATCATCGCCATGGAAGAAAGGAATGTCTCTGTCTCTGAGTACTGCTCAATATTGGGTCGCGGCTGCGGATAAGGTACCAAAAACCGAGCACTTACCATTGATTGCTCGCAGCACGAGCACTGTGTGCATGGGACCATGAATCCTTCTGTGGTTGAGATCGAGATCGAGATCGAGATCATGAAGAAAAACACGGACGATATTGAAACAGCTCTAGCCATAGTCATGTGTGTGCAAAAATTCTTTTAATTAAAATGACAAAAGAATAAAAACAACTCAATGGAATAAAAGAACAATTAATAACAAAAACAATTCACTTATCTTCGTTGGAGTTCTATACTTTTATTTATATAGAAAAAGAAGATAGAATTACGGTGGGATTCGCTATGCTTGTCCTTTCAGTAAACAATTCCTCACATACAAAGTTATTTCTTTCTGCGATTCTTACATGTAGAACTTTTCTCATGCATAGCTTCTTTCCATATAACATTCTTTATTATGCAGGAATTGATTTTGGACCATCTTTGGATCATAATATGAGTGGGCCGGATTGGTCTCATGATAACCCGAGAAGCTGTCACTAATTTTTGTGCTGTTGATAGTTTTACTGGCCTGATCAATATTGTGCTTTGGAGGGCTAGTGGAAAAATAATGGAATAATGCCTTATTTTAATGACATGGTTGATTTTTAATGGTGGGGGATTTTTCCCTCCGCACCATGGTTATATGACTCTGATATTGTTTGAGGTTGCTTATTCTCTATTATATATACTATAATATATAGAGAGACACTGAACAAGCCGTGACACACTGAATATATATGGCTTGTTTGCTTTTAAGAACTCCTCCTCTTTTGGTAACACTGTTTTGTTAGAATATGTATATATATATA